ACGGAATTCCGCAATAGCGAAGCGGACGGGTTTAACGACAGTGATCGGATTTTACTGAAAAGTCTCATCGCTCGAAAGCAATTAGTATCGCAAATAAACTGATTACACATAACGCACAAGGAACATTTTTTTTAAATATACATATCTAATACATACATGAGTACACTTAATCAAAAAATTTAACTATTTTACAACTAAAATACTTACCTTTCAACATAATACTCAGTTATGTGAGCACATCTTCAACAACAGATTTGAAATATTTGCTTTTTCATCAATATTTTAAAAATTTCTTACATCTTGTAGAACAGAGATGTGCTCACACGCACTGTTCCAAATAAAACTCCATTACCAACAGAGGCAAGCATTCAATTATTCTACAATGATAAAGTATTCAATAGATTACTTAGTTTAATATAACATGAAAATGGATAACCTGATATTTAAACCAACTTTCTGCAATTCAAATGCAGAAACTGCTACTAAGATTTGAAGTGCAGTTTTTGCACAACTAAGAATTTATACCTTTTTCAAAAATGGAACATGAATGCTTACCTTTGGCTTCGTAACAAACGAGTTCAGAAAATGGCTTTATATGTAAAATGTCGATTTTTTTTAGACAAATGGAAAGATACAAGGCTGGTTCAGCCAAATGAACAAGTTTGCATTTACATTAACTTTCTTTTTAATCAAATTTTAATTTCAAACAATTAGTATTTATTTTAAACAATTGGTAGTTGATTCAATCTAAAATAATGGAACTGTTAACTGGGCGACATATTTGGTCCTCAGATAAATTATCATCATGATTCAAAACTATTAATTTTAGGAAATTTATCTTTCTGGATTTTAATAACCATTTCCTGATCTCATTTGAATATCTTAATACCAAAATAATATACAAAACCTTATATTTACCTTGAGGTTGTGAATCCTGTGAAACAAGTGCTGAATTATCTTGATAACCACTTGGCCCTGGAAGTGATGATACGGTTGACTGATCCATATACATCATCATGGAATTGTCCGAGCTATGAGATGGTCCAGCCACAGGTGACATTGGCGGATCCAACTCAAGTAGCTCTGGTTTGATATCTGCGTATATATAAACACAAATTAGATATAATGAGTTAAATTTTACCATTGTCAAAATTATGTAGAACCACAAAACAGTTGTAAATAGGAACAAAGTACACAAGCCTTACATATGATGTCAATACAGTGGGAGAGATGACATACACAATATTGAATTTATAAAGTTCTACAATACATCTAGATAATTCACACGGAAAATGTAATAATAGTATGCTCATATACCACTATGGGTATTGGGATGAAATCTGAAGTTTCATTTTAATTGTTAGGGTATATTTTCATTAATAAAGGATAAAAAATTAAAAACCACAAGATGTGAGGAAATACTGAAAATCAGGTTTACTAATGAGAAAGCATACAGAAGCTGTCCACGTAAAGTATGCATTTCTGATGAAAACTAGGGTTAATCTTCGGATTATGGAAACCTGGCAATTTTTTGGCAACCAACCCTGCTGGTCGAATTACGCTTATTCTAGAACTTTTATTGAACAAAAGTGCTTAGACATGATGAAGATTAGGTGCAAAATTGAGAGAAAGTGCAGAATCACCCACTGCTTGCTGCCTTTTTAAGAATTGCACATACACGGTATCCATGTACATGTTGGCCTAAATTGCACAAAAATGGCATTGCGCACACTCGACCTTATCTATGTACACTGCTAATGTACCACCTTTATCGCCTTGCCTAAATGTTCTACACTGCCTGTTACCATATTCCAAAAGATTACACAAAATGAGCTTTAACATATCAGGAAAATCACTAAAATCATCAACCCATTCACTTGAACTAAATTTGACCGATTAGCTCAAAAACTGGAAAAGTTTCTGGCTATGCAAATATTCAAGTTTCTTTTTTATATATTCAAGTTGCTTTTAAAGCCAGTTTATTTCACAAACTACCAAAAATTCTGCAGGATCAATCTTATTTTTGAGTTACATATATCCATACTGATCATTTCAAAATTTATAACTAATCTTCGAGTACTCACCTGGAGGGCTTTCTGGTTGTGTATTTGAACCTAAGGCTTCTGATGGCATTGATGTAGGGACTAAGTTTGAGGAATGATCTGTGCTACTCCTAGGCCTCCTCTGCATCTCCATGCCAGAGGAAGGAACAGAAGATCTACCACTTCGACGTGCATTTGACAACTAAAATAAGGAAATTAGACCGTTCAATAAATACAACTCAAAGCACAATGTTTTCAGGTCTTCATGAATTGAGACAATTGAATTCATTTTATTGACATACAATAAGTTAAACATACCACTGATATAAAAAAATGTCAATACAGTCCAAAAAGTATTCTTTAACTATTCTTAGTGAAACATACTAGACTAGGGATTTTGTAAGTTGAAAAATGTCATACCAAGACAACACATAAAATGGATAATTTAAAGCAAGACTTTATAAGGAACCAGAACCAAGAAACATGTAACAGATTATAAAGGCTTTATGAATTTACTAAATATAAAAAATAAGCAAAAGTTATAAGTATAGAAAATAAGAAAACATTATTCATTAGTTTTTTTTTGTTCTTAAATTAAATGGTTAAAAGTTAAAAAAAGTTTGCTACTCAATCTAGCTTGGGTTATAAAACACTGCACTTTCACAAGCTTACTTTTAATTCATAGAGATTCTGAAAATTTAGGTCAAGAATTTTCAATCAATCACAAATTTTCCAATTATTTAACATTTCTGAATATATGTAGATTCAAAAATTGCCATTAGAAATTAACAAACCAAATTTGCTCCTTTACATTCACATAATACACAACTGAACACTGAAAACAAATCACTTTATTATCTCACTTACATCATCTGTTGTCAAAGTTTGTTCTAATAATTTAGCAGGTTCCACCCCAAATTCACTTTCATCAGCTGATGCTGGCTCCTCAATCTGAGCATCTTGAGCTATAGATGATGATTTATGAAAAGAGTTTGTGTTATGGGATGGTAAAGTCTGCATAGGCACCTGAGATTGTAAATTAGAATACTGTCCTCCACTAGAACCCTCCATAGTTAAATCACCTGATATTTCTTCAATATCAGGAGAATCTGGCTGTTTGATCTTTGGTTCAATAGAATCTTCATCACTACGGTTAGAGTCACTTAGCGACCGCTTTCTTGTTCGGCCACGTCTTCGTTTATTTTGTGGAGGCGGTGTATCTGTCCTTTGCTGCACAGTTCTATGACTAGAATCCTCTTGTGCAGGTGTAGTAGTATTAGAGGATTCAGAGTTCTTTTCATTTGTTACCTCTGCCAGCCCTTTTACTCTAAGAGTCTCTGCTGTTTTCATAAGGGCTGAGAGTTGATCTTGTGCAACATTCACTTCACCATGATACATGAATTCTATTATAGCTTTCAGTTCACTGTATTTCATATCTTTAAGTATCACAATTGGATGCTTACAGGGATTCTCTAAAAACAGAGACTGGAAGAATGGACTGCAAGCTGAAAGAACCATTTTGTGCGCTTTTAAGCTCAACCCATCACAGGCAAGAGTTACGTCGACTAGCGCTTCTGTCGACAGTAAGTTTTTAAACACATCCATCATGTTATTCATGTGGTTGTTCCACTTTAAACAAAATTGTTGAGACATTGTAGCACAGATGATAACAATGACTAGTAACCTGGAAAGAAAAAAAAAATCTGAGGAATCGACATAATTTATTCATCAATTATTTCACATGAGTTAAAGCATTCTAAATTACATACATTGATTTACATAACTATGAGCTCCAATATGCTCAGTACCTTCCTAGTTTAATATTTATGAAAGCCACATCCTGCATTTTAGAAATTCAATATCCTTAATTGCAATCATAATACTTGCATATCTGTTAGAAAATGCATTCAAGCAACACAGCTTGATAAGGCTGTTACAATTACATACTCATACCACTCTTGCCTTATTTAGTGATTAATGAATGGCAATGCAATGTGAAAAATTAATACAATGAATATCATTTGTATATACAAAAATTCGATTCTCACAGCTGGTTGAGATAACTATTGAATGGACGGCCAATAATTTAATATATTATTCTTTTAAATTTTTCCACATTTCTTATAAATACTTCTTTAAAATTTTTTTGATCCGTTTCACTGCTGCAAATCTCACCAAGCAGACTTGGCAACAACATACAGTATACACATGAAAATGTTAACGATACTTTGAAGGCACATCTTAATGTGGTTTAAAATTTTGTAAAAAGCCAATTTCAATTTTTACGAATAGCTTACTCAGAAATTATGTAAAACCACAGTTTTTTAATGCATTCTAATTAGAATTGGTGAATCTGAAGATCAATTTCAGTTTTAAAGGCTGTGGATACATGTAGCTTTCAGCAGCAGTTCAAAAACTTACTAGACCCTCCCAGCAGGTAAGCCTTCGTGGAAATCAAGAAGCTTTACTGTACGGAATGCAGATTAAAAAAGATCAATATTTCAGTTTATTATGCAACTCATAGACAGAAGACAAGAAGGTTACCAGGGAAAAGTCAACTAACACACTTCTATAAATAACAATCCTGATCAGTACATAGTGTTGCAAGCAAGAGTGCATGTTTGAGTCTACACAACAGCTACAAAACCACATCCACACATTAGACTTGGCTCTTTAGATGGAAAATTAAGGTTAATGTTAAAAAAACTCATGCTATCCTACTCACACACACAACAAAAAAAAAAAAAAAAAAAAAAAAAAAAAAAAAAAAAAAAAAAAAAAAACACCCACTAAATTCAACAAAAACCTACAGTTCTATGGAGTGAAGAAACATAAAACAAGAACTTAATGTTACACAAAAAAATTATTGAAATGAATTTAGTGTATTTTTTGGCTTCAGCCAAAAATTCTTTGGAAAATTTCCTGCCATTAACAATTATTTCCTCATAACATTTAGCAATTAAATGTTTTCTAGAGTTTTTGGTGAAATTGAAAACAAACAGTTTGTTTTACTTCACAACACTGAAGACTCTCGCACCAGCATTACTGTGTGGAATTACAGCTGCAATTTTTCTGCCAAATTAAGTGCATGGCCATCCAATAACAATTAATTCATTTTATTCTTTTTTGAGGAAAGAGGCTACACCCTTTTTGTCACCCACCATGACATGAGCATTATCTGCACCAAATGAAATGCAGTTTGATATTGGGATGTTAAGTTTTTTCAACTCATTAATTACCCAATATTTTCCCCCGTAGTGTCTCCATTTAACAATGGGAGACGCAAAAGACGAGTTTTCATTTCATTAGAAACATCACAGAAATATGTCACAACGATGGCGTAAAGCTTAAACACTTGAAAAAGGGAAAAAATTGTAAAAAATGGATTACAATCATAAAAACAAATGAATTTTCATAAAAGTTGGCAGGTATGTTACCAGAAAAGTTGAGCACACAAACATACACTATTTCCCTTAATAGCTTGAACCAGTGTTCTAATGCTGCAAACTGCACAGATTGGGGTTTTGAGACAAATTGTCAAAGCCCAATGGTATGTTCAAAATAACACACTACATACTGAACTGAAAATACATTATATTAGAACTTTGGCCTGAGCCTATTGGCACCTACGTGTCAATGATAAATGCAACATCAAAAGGCCTATGGCCAGTCTTAGGGATGCTGTTGACTAACTTATGTATGCCATGTTTTCTGTTGTGCATTAATGTTACATCTTACCTAAAATGTTTTAAAAGAGCAATGCAGACCAATACTAACAGGATATCTTATCAGTCTTTAATACATACAACTCTAATATAACAATTTGCATAGCAGAAATTTTTTCGTATATTTTGTGTAATAGGCACATTAAATTAAGTTTCATTAGATTTGACTTTATTATCTATATTCACAATATGTGCAGCTAAAATTTTCAAGCGTTTCCTTTGTTAGCCACTATAATCAATCACAGGCAATTCCTAGTATCTTTTTTGGGTCGGAGATTTTACTATGGTGCATCTCCTACAAATATATCTAAAACTTAAGCTATTTTCAAAAGAGTGCTGGCTTACCCAAGTGCTGCTCTGCTACAGCTTGACATTTGCAAAATGTATAGAAAGCTCATTAAAATAAATGGCAGCTTTTACTAACACTAGGAACTTTTCAAAAATATAATAAAAATTTTGGATACTTACCTGGCATGGTAGGTTTGGCTACGTGTAATCGATTTAGTACACTGACAAAAATTCAATTACACGCAAGATGTTACATCTTTGTTTAATTAAAACTAAAATTTTCTTGAGAGTTTTAGATCTGAACCATCGCCAACTCTGGCGATAATAGTTCAAACCAGGTAACCCAGCCAATTTATCGTTTTCGCTTGTTCGAAGTTGCTTTCTCTTGCGTTCACTTTCTTGAAATATCACTGTTCGCATTTGCAGATTTACATTATTCTTCTCTTATTATTATTTTTTCTGAAATTTTAACAACGAATAGATAGAAATATTTTCATAGATAGAGACCAGTTCTCGGTTCGGGATGAAAGGAAGAAAATACGGCGGGAGGGGGTGAATGCTAATTTATAACACGGCTGTTCACGTTGTGTGTTCTCAATTATTAACGGCTCTAAGAACCATGAGGTTTCCAACCTCTAAAATAATTTGTTTCTGTAGGCCAGAAAAATATGCATGTGCATTTTAAATAATGCTTTTATTTTTATTATTGGTTATTGTCATCTAAAATTATGAGAATAAATCAATTTTTAGGCGTAAAATTTAACAAGATAATATATTGTTAAGCTTTTCTAACAACCTTTCAGAGGATGGTAGGTGTGACAAAAAGATGATTAAATTAAAATAAAAAATTTTATTGATATCTAAGATGACAGATAGTTGATGCATCATCACCATGGTCATCAAAATTAGCAAACCACTGCTGATGTAAGGAATATATGTTTTCTGTGTTAATTGGAATTAAGAAAAATTTTTTTCATTTCTCACGTTTAACCGGTTAATTTCAATACATTAATACTAATTATATTTTAATGAATTTTATTTCCGTTATAAATGCTTAATATATTCTTTTCTGTGCTACTTGAATTTAATTCAAATTTATTTTCGTATATCACTTTTAAACCGTTTTTTACATCTACATGCTTATTATCGTGAATTTTTACTACCATATGCTTGTTTGTCTGCTAACTTGAATTTACATGCACTAAAAATCACGTTTACAAAATATCACATTTACGGCTCGGCTCATCGGAACCGCGAGCTTGGCGAGTAAAAATGCAACGGCGCCAATGGATTCTTTACCGAAGCGCCAACGGGTCCTCTGCGGATGAAAATCCCTGATTTTTATTTGCTATCAGGTATTGAGTATGATTTTTTTCAGTTACCTTGATCGCAGTGCAAAGACAAAAGACTTCTCTTTACATATTTTAACAATCGATCAACTCGCATTAAGCAAAATTTCGTGTACCTCGCTTGATGCACATTTTAGGGATCAGTCTTAAGCAAATTTGATATTTAAAATAATCGAACATACTTTTCATAAAAAATGTTAAAAAAACACCAGTTTCAACTGCTAACTTGAAAATGAGTTTCTATGATTTTGTACTTGCTGGATTTCAAAAGGTTCCGAAATTCAAAAATGCAGAAGCTACAGAGGAAATCATTTTCGATTTGTTCTAAAACTTAATTAGGTGGTAATGATTTGGGATAAAGACAACCTCCTTTTCATCAGATAAGAATTATGATTGTTCGAACAATAAATTTTTTATTAGCAATTTCGAGTAGAGAATTACTATTTTTTAAAGCAAGTCAGATTTTAAAAAGAAAATTTCAGTAAATGATCTCAGCCAATCTGAATTGAAAATACAAAATATTTAAATCGCTTAATATAAAATACTTATACCAACCGCATTGACCACAATCTTACATACCACCATTTTCTCGCGAGAATACCAGTTTATAAATTGATTTTACATAATTTGCTTTTTTAAAATAACTTAATTTTTTAAATTTTAAATCGTTAAATAAAATGTGAAAAATACGTTATTGATCTTGATTCAGTTTCAGCTCTGAAGTACACACCACAACGCTCAGAGCAGTAATGGCGTCCAAAGACGCCAAGCAAGCAATGGTCTAATGGCGTTAGAAGACGACGCAATGCGCCATTTTGCAGTTAAGAGAAAACATTTAAATACATAACCTAAAACTGCTTTCGACAGCACATTGGTTCGTTAGGTAGTCCTAAATAATAAACAGATATAGTATACATTCATCAGTTACTCACTTTTTTTTTCACTTATTAACTGCAGTGTGTGTCGCATTGCGCCATTTTCAAACTGCTGCCCTCTAACCGATTTCCACCGTGCATACTTTTACTGCAGAACAACGCGCAAGAACTGAATTTTCATTAAAGCGTACAATTTTAGGCATTTTGTAACTTTGATTTGTTCAAACTGTTCAATTAAAATTAAACATTTTTCAGCTCCTCGGAGAATCATTCCTCACTCCTACCGCTGAGTTAGCACACTAAAAAGAAGCAACAAGCAGAAAAAAATTACCGGCATATAATAAAATAACATCAGATTATTTTTTTAATACGGCTACTTTACTTTTAGATACTGCAGAACTTCTATCACAAATCGATTTAGTACGGAACTACTACCAGTAAATTTTGTACTCCATATCCTACCATAACTATGAGAACACAATTAATCAGAGCTGACAAATCTCGAAATTAATGTCATAAATCTTAACATACTTTAGTATTACAGATAAAAATTTAATATTTAAACAAATTACTTCAAATATAAAAAATTTTTACATTAATTCTAAATCTCGTACAATTTTACACAACGTCTGCTGCGATTACTCCTCTCAGCGCCATTTTGCTACCACTACCAGGATTCTACTGCGCCATTTTCAGTTACCAAAATTAATGCATAATTTCGGTTACAAAACTGAAGACATTTACTTTAAACAGTTATTTTACTTAAAACTGCTTCACAATCCTTCTTCAGATTTCAACAACTATTCCTCAATAGACATTATTTCATGTCTCGGTCATTTTCGGCTTTTGCACCGAGCATAACTAATCAGAGTCCATCGTCAATTCTTTTCTAATAAATTTCAAAAATTTACGTAAAACATGTAATTTTACTTAAATTAGTCCAATCTCTCAAAACATTTTACAAAAATAATACTTACTTAAAAATGTTGATAATGAAATCTTTTACCGACAGTGATTCGATAAGCGAATATTTACAACGATGTTTCACTGTCGAGAGCCGATGATAAAATGGCACTAGAACGCTAACGTACGTAGAACGAAAGGTAGCTGTTGCCATACTTGAATAAAACATTTATATATATTTTTTTGTAACTCATTTTAAAAAAATGGATAATGATTGTTTAATTTTTTTTACTTTGTGTATTCTATTAAATAAAATTATTATTATTATTTCTATTATTATTATTATGAAAGAGGTGAAACTATGATTCTTTGAATTTTGAAAATAGATACACATGTTATTTTTCCCCCGACATCAATATGGAATTAATACTTTACGTAAAGATATAAAATTTATCAAACGTGAACTTATTTTAGCTCTTTAATTTGGAATGTATTTGAGAATTTTTCTCATTTGTGTCACTTTTGAAGAAGACAACCAACAAATTTCTCTCCTGACTCAAAATTGTTTTTACCTCACGGACTGGAGGAAACGGCGTTCGCCAAAGTCCTCACCTCCTTTGTTCTTGCTCAAAAGCAAGATTGCTACAGATTGCTACAGAAAATTGTTTTTGCTTAAAATGAACTTGAAGTTACCGTTGGTTTTAAATATAATTCATCTAATTTGGAATCTTCTTAAAAAAAAAAAAAAAAAAAAAAAAAAAACTATAGATAGATGCAGTTGCAGAGTCCAAAATTAAAAGGGTCCTCCAAAATTTTTTGCATTAAATAATTTTGCAGAATGCCCCACTTATTTGGCGCTTTTTACAAGAGTAAGAAGAATTGGAGTTTTGTCAATTTTCAATGGCTTTTTAAGTGAAAATAGGTCGATGTGTACATGGCTGAAGACAATAAGTGTGTACATGGCTGAAGACAAGAAGAAGAGTGCGCAATGCCATTTTTGTGCATTTCTGAGATTTTTTTTTTAAGTGAAAATAGGACGATGTGTACATGGATGCCAAGTTAGTGCAATTCTTAAAAACGTGTCAAGCAGTGGGTGATTCTACGCTTTTCCCATAATTTTAATGCATTTCTATTCGTGCAGAGTTCCTTATGGTAAAAGTTACAATTGGGTGCTCCTTGTTTTTTGGCGATTCTTTTTGACGCCAGGAAGGCACAATTTCAAGATGGCCGCTACACAAAACCAAAATAAGAAGTCAAAGAATTGCACAAACTCTGCGTCCATGTACACATCGATCTGTTTTCACTTAAAAAAACATCCTAGAATTGCACAAACTAGGCATTGAACACTGAAATAAATTTGTCCATGTACACATCAATTTATTTTCATTTAAATAACATCAGGAAGTTAAAACTATCAGGGTAGCCAGAAGTGAGATTTCATCGCCTAAATTTTAAACAAATTGTCGCTACTCGAAGGGGCACCCAATTTTACACTAGAGCCTTTCTTATTTTCCGGGTGACATTTTTTCCGCACACTCTGCAAATTTGCACAATACCTATCAAAAATTATGTTGCTAGTAGTTAGTTTGTAGAAGAAATAAAAGATGAATGCCTTTGGCCAAAAACCGCAATAAGGCATAAGTAAAAATCAATGAAAAGCATAATTTCTCATTGAAATTGTACTTCTGTATTTTAAATTTTTGAAATGAAAATTGTTAATCAACACAGTTGTCAAAATGTGGCTGTGTTTGCTTTATAGAAATCCAGTGACAATTGCTGCCTTTTCTTTTGGTCTGGTTTATGTCAATGCTGAATTGCCTTTCTTTAGAAAAGCAGGAGAGAGTATGGGATTATTGCCAGTGGCATAAATAAGGGTAAATGTAGAGGGAAGCTATGGGAAACTTTAATTAAAAAATATATTCCACAAATACTTACAATTTTTGTTTTCGAAATGAAATGATTAGGAATCACAAATTTGTAATAATGTATAGGAAACTGCTATATATATATAATATATGATCATTAAAGATGTAAAGTAAGAAATTATCTGGACATTATTCAAGATCAAGAGATCAGACTGCTTATGAAAAAGGGAACGAAGTTTAGACCTATTAAATTCATTAATAAATTACATTGCATAGAAAGTATTTCTACAGATATATTGATAATTTGGCTAATGTGCAAATCGCCCACTTATTTGTTTGGCACTTTTTACAAGAGTAAGAAGAATTGGATTTTTGTCAATTTTCTTTGACTTTTTAAAAGAAAATAGGTTGATGTGTACATGGATAAAAAGTCAAGAGTGTGCGGAATGCCATTTTTGTGCAATTCTGGGATGTTTTTTTAAGTTAAAATAGGTCGACGTGTACATGGATACCACATATGTGCAATTTTTAAAAACATGCCAAGTAGTTGTCAATTCTGCACTTTCACTGATAATTTTATCTTGAAAGTTATTTCTCAGCTTATCTACACATCTGTTTAAAGAATGGAAAAATGAAATTATTACTCAAAGCAAAAAGAAAATTGAGAAAATTCAAGGATTTAAAGGAATTAAAAACTGGAAAATTTTACTTTTTAAATTTTCCCTATTAAAAAAGCAATTTATCATAACTAAAATTGTTAAAGCAAACAATAGTTTAAATATTTTATGAAAAAATTCTACAATGATATAATTGAAAATGAGCTAAAAAGTTCTTCTATGTATAGCATCTGCAAAAATAAAGAAAGAACTGTTATTAACAAAATTTCTGCCTTTCACCAAAAATGGAGAATTCTCTCTTCACTACAAATAACATATTTGCCAGTCTTTATGCCTTACCAAAATTTCATAAAAATCCTGTAAAATTTAGATTTATCACTAATAGAACCAGAAACTTCAAGAAGAATTTTGATAATTTTTTTACACATCTACTTAAGACTGTTTGTAAAGTAGTTTTTGAACAAGTTAAAGAAGAAACTTCTGCTGGATTATTTATGACAACTTGAAATCACTGAAGAAGTTAAAAATCTTAAAATTTACAATTAACTGCTATGACTTTGAAAGCCTCTACACGAACCTGCCACTCCAAGAAATCGACGAAAGTCTTATAGAAATGACAGAATTGTTTCCTGAAATACTTAATATTCTGGATTTACAAAAATGGAAAGAATTTCTACATTTTTTGTTGTACAATAACTATATTAAACATTCAAACTTTCTTTATCTGCAAACACAATTAAGTTCATAATTCTACTCATATTTGTAACCTATTTCTATTTTCTAAAGAATTTAAGTTCCTTAAGAGCCTTTCTGATAAAGATTTCAGTAAATTTAAACACACTTATTGATTGACATTCTTACTTTCAACAATTTTAACCTCTCTGAAAACAGCAACATCTACCCAAATTGTCCAAAACTAAATAAGACCAATAAAACCAAACAGAAATAGTTTATCTTGATCTAAGTATTCATAAACTAACGGAAATTAAACTTTTTGATAAACGAAAAGATTTTAATTTTTCTACTAATATGCATATTAATTGGAATTCTAACATATCTAAAAAATGTTATTGCAAATACTTTTTTTAACCAAATTAGTACAATTAAAAAGGTTTACACTGAAATAGAAGAAATTCTAATTCTCACCAAAATTTTAAAAGATAATGAAATTCTTTAAAATTTATATAATATATTAATGAATCTGGAGTAGTCTACACCCTATAATACTTTTTAAAAGTATGATTTTGATCTCAAATCTCCTGAAGAGAAGGATAGGATTCTTTTATTATTTTTTATCATTTTTTATTTAATTATTTTTTTGTTACTAACCATAGCCTTATATATATTCAAATCATCATAAGAAGCCCATATGAAGACTTTTTACTTTTCTAACATAGTTTCTTTACTTCCTTTGTCAACTTTTTTCTGTAATTTTAAATTAAAAAATTAAAAAACTACAATTTAACTTGATAGATTTTTTTACTCGTATCTACAAAACAATTATTAAAAACTATTTGATCACTTTTGGGGCAACTTTTTTAGTCTATTTTTTAGGGATTAATTGGGTTTCAAACTTAATTAAAGTTTTATACTAAATAATGTTCTTTTTTTCCCTTTTTTGTTTTACAAGAGTCAGAATTTACATAAATATCATTCGATTAATATGCAAATGTTTTCTTTGAGTAAAAAATAAAAATAAATTTGCATTGAAATATTTAAAAGTTTGTTTGGTTTAAAAATTACACATTGCATACCAGATTTTAGCCTTTTGAATGATTACTTTCTCGCAAAGGCTTTTTAGTTTCATCAATGAAGCGAAAATGGCAAACTTGTACCTCTCTACTGTTTCGCATCTCATAGTTTAGACTGGCGTCTGATGAGAGTGCTCAAAGTTCTTAATTACTTCTTGTGTGTTCTAATTAGGTTTTTTTCAACTGTGTTTTATAAATTCACTCACATCTTAATTCGTTGAATTATCTGTTTAAAGGTAAACATTTTGATTTAAAATTTTTCACTGAAGTATTTTGTTTTTTCACTTTTGTTTTCAATTTTTTTAATAAAATAGAATTATCTTTATTTAAGGTTATTCTAATTAGAATTTACTTTGTTTTTTCCTTGCTTTGGGGAAGAAATTCAGAATTTTTGGGTGAACTATTATAATTAAAATATATTGAAATGGTTCATTGGCTAATTCTGGATACAAAAAAGCAAGGATTTTTGTAAAAAAGAGATTTCAATTGATTTCAGTGTTCCTCACCCCCTGACGAAATAGCATTCGTCAGGGGGTTACACCTGTTAATTCCTCTTTTGTTTTTGTTCATTTTTCTTTAAATTTCATTATTTTTTAATGGAATTTTGCCATTTTTTAAATTCTTTGTTGCATTTATAAGGTTATTGAATTTTTAATTATGAATTTCATTTTGGTCTTTGTGAAATATTAGTTCTCAATTCTTACTTTATCTTTTAATGATTTATTTTCTGCAGCTTAATGCACAAAATACCAGACATGTTTATATTTGTTTTCAAAAGTATTGTTTTGTAATTATGATATATATATATATATAATGTTGTATGAACTTAAATCCATTTGTGATGATAAGATTTAGTTCATTGTAGTAAATTGATAGGAGATTAGTACTTGACTAGGGAAGACACTATTTGCAGTCGAGAGTGGATTGAGGATTAGCAGATCACTGAAAATATCAGT